AATTCCACACCCACCCCTCACCGTCGTATACAGCATCAGCCCCAGCGCCATCACCGTCGCCCCATTGACCACCACCAACCCCACCAACCCCACCAACCCCCCCCGGCCGACGGCCCCAGATACGCCCGGCAGGTGCCCGCGCGCTCCCAGACGGCGGCGGCGCGCTGGTAGAGGAGGGATGCCAGGTACCAGAGGGTGATGTTGGTGTAGAGCAGGAAGCGCAGGAAGGAGGGGAAGGTTTGGAGCGACACGCAGGTGCCGGTCCACGGGCAGTGGTGGTCCATTTTGGGGATGCAGCGGGCGCAGTGGCGGCAGTGGTGTGAGCGGAGGGGCTTGGGGTGAAGGCATTTTTTGCAGTGGCGACGGGTTGGGGGTGGGTTGGGGGTGGTGGAGGTTGGGTTGTTTGGGTTTGGGTTTGGGGGGGAGGGGTGGCGGTTGTTGGTGGTGGTGGTGGTGCCGGTGGTGGAAGATGATGGTTGTGGTTCCGAGGAGGATGATGGCGGGAAGTGGTAGCGGCCGGGGTCGGTGGTGCAGGCGAAATAGTAGGTGACCCAGACGCAGGCGAGCAGGGTGTTGAAGGTGAGGCTCTCCCGACGGGTGAGCGGCCCCGGGGCCAGGTCGGGGTCGGCGCTGAAGAGGTACTGGGAGAAATAACCCTGGAAGGTGATCAGGGCGCACACGGCGGGTATGTACAGGCGGTGCAGGCCCCGTGTTGTGGGACCTGTTTTGGGAGACGTCATGGTGATGAATTTGTTGGTGGTTGGTCCATGGAAAGTTGGGTTTGTTTTCGTTTAACTAGTCGAGGTTAAGTTTGATGTTGGATGTTGGATGGATGCAGGAACATGGTTGCTGACATGGAGATGAGACATGAGACGCGTCGTGGCGCAGCTTCCAGCTGGCAACGGTTTAATTCATGGAAGTTAACATGTTGGAAGGTACTGTAAATACAAGAGGTACTGGTGGGGGCCTCGTATATTTCCCCCTAACTGGCTACTAAAATTTGGCACTGATCTGCGACAGGGGAGACAGTGAATGCATCCACTCCAGGGACGAACCCAATGTTAACAGCCGGGCACCAGGGCAGGACAGCTTGGAAAACTGGGCATGGCTCAGCCTCAAAGCTTCATACAATTTTAACATAGTTAGCTTCCTTTACCACTTACCTAACTTCCTGACGAACTCACCTCCAAACTACATACATCAAAAACCATTCCCGAGTTTGTAAATGCATCATTATTAAATTGATGGCAGCCCTCGGCGTTAAAGGGTGACTATGACCAATCAGTTGACGGCGCTGTGGTAAGAAGAAACCCCTGGATTTGTTATGAGGTTACTCATTAGGTACTCATTGCTCATTGCTCATTGCTAACTCATCCATCCAACCCTCTCTTAGCACCGTCACATCATTTTTATGGCTTGCAAATAGTCTGGAGGATCACCAAGTGATAGGTAAATAACCCTAACAACTCGCTCGTCCAACCTCATTCATTTCTAACCAAAAGGGACTCACAGAACAACCGAGGTTCTCATCTCTACTCGTCCTCCTCATCGCAGCATTATCATCCTATGCCGCCAGCTTCTGTTCCGCATGGCTCCCAGGGACAAATGGAAGATTTGGTAAGTATCAACTCTGCAAACTCCTCATCACTTACGACTCACCACTTACTAACCCTGCTGCTAGACGATGAGCGAGCCCCCCTCAAAGTGAAGCGCGTCAACCTTCCCAAGAAACCGAGGAGATACTTCTTGCCTGCCCTGGTCCTCTGCATTATTCTACGGCTAGAGATCTTTCACCGTGTATCTCTGGACCTCCAATGCTCAAAGCCGGGAATCGAGGTGAGTCGGGGTTCTCGTCAGGCCCCTCGGGCTGCACAGCTGCTGACCCCTCCAAGGCCTTTTTGCCTCTGTTAATCCTCATATACGAGCTCCTACCTGGTCGCAGGGCACGGTCTGGCGACGGTGACGATGAGGAAAAACCGGACGACTTTGGCATGACCATCTCG